GAAAAAGAGGAAGACCTTCCATGAGATGGACTGACACAGTGACTGCAACAATGGGCTTAACTATAGCAGTGATTGTGAGGATGGCACAAAACTGGGCAGTGTTTCCTTCTGTTGTATGTAGGGTCACTATGAGTCAGAATTGACTCAATGGAACCTAACAACAACAACTTTTCCTTACAACACATGTCCTCAGAAGATAGTTTACCAATCTTTCCCTAAGTTAGTAAAGAGGAACTGGTCTGTCCTTTAACCCAGTGGAGCAGGTGTGTCTCAATTATGTCAAAAGAAAGGTTAAAACAACAAAACTAGTTCCCTCATTTCCCGTTCACATCTACACAAAAAACGCTACTTTCTTCTCCAAAAGCAAGAAAAACAAATCATGCTCTCTATTGTTGAAGTGGTATCAAGTGTTTTCCTGCATTGAATTGTTCCCTTTATGCAGAGGTTAAGGTGTTTATTATCAAAAACTTATATATTTCTGTTACTGACATGAATCTTAGAAAATCGCTCATGTATACAAATTATACATATGCTAATATGTGTTAGTATACTGTATACAATGTGGTCTGCATAACTAAGGTTCAAGGGCTGCCTAACATTGTATACATATGTTAATAGTTTCAAAGAAAAGGCAGTAGCACCCCCAATCACTATGACAAAGAAACTATTAAATAAGTATTTTGCAAGACAGAATTTTCATTTCAGATTTTTAAAAAATTTTATTATTCCTTAGGTGAAAGTTTACAGTGCAAATTAATTTCTCAAACATTTATACACAAATTGTTTTGGGACATTGGTTGCAGTTCCCGCAATGTGTCAGCACTTTTCCACCCCAGGTTCCCCGTGTCCATTCATCTAGTTTTCCTGTCCTTTCCTGGCTTCCTGTCTTTGCTTTCGGGCAGGTGTTGTCCATTTGTTCACGTACACTTGAATGAACTAAGAAGCACGTTCCTCACATGTGTTATTGTTTTATAGGCCTGTCTAATCTTTGGCTGAAAGGTGGACTTCGGGAGTGGCTTCACTTCTGAGTTAGCATGGTGTCTGGGGGTCATAGTCTCAGGGGTTCCTCCAGTCTCTGTCAGACCAGTAAGCCTGGTCTTTGTGAATTTGAATTTTGTTCTCCATTTTTCTCCCACTCTGCCTGAGACCCTCTGTTATGATCTCTATCAGAGCAGTCGGTGCTGGTAGCCGGGCAGCATCTAGTTTTTCTGGGCCCAGTCTGGTGGAGGCTGTGGTTCACGTGGTCAGTTAGTCCTTTGGACTAATATTTTCCTTATGTCTTTGGTTTTCTTCATTCTTCTTTGCTCCAGACAGGATAGGACCAATAGATGTATCTTGCATGGCTGCTCACGAGCTTTTAATACCCCATATGCTACTCACCAAAGTAGGATGTAGAACATTTTCTTTATGAACTATGTTTTGCCAATTGACGTAGACATCCCCTAAGACTGTGGTCCCCAGCCCTCTTATTTCAGATTTTAAGAAAGCAAACTAAATTAAAATGAAAACATGACTAGACACAAGGTGAAAAAAAAAATCACAATAGTGTTATGATTTACAATATGTAGGTAGCGCTTTTGGATAAAACAAAGTGTTGTTTACATAACAGATGATTAGAAACGAGTAACAATTTGATTTTTTTTTTTTTTTTTTCCATTCTACACTTTCAAAGGAGCCCTAGAGGCACAGTGTCTAAGAAAAAGCTCAGCTGCTAACCAAAAGGTCAGCAGTTTGAATCCACCAGGTGCTCCTTGGAATCCCTATGGGGCAGTTCTACTATGTCCTACAGGGTCACTTTCAAAAAGCTTAAAACCATTAAATCCAAAAGAGATTTGGTGCGGTCAGACCTACTCTTCTTTTTGCCTAATTTTGAAGTTCAATTAATAAGTATACAAATTAATTAGAGATAATTTTAGAAAAAGTATCTTGCCTAGCAACAAAAACTCATAATTGAAAGTATTCTGGCAAGAATTTCTTCTTGACAGTAAGAAGAAATGATATTAAAGCAGTAATAATATTAAAGAGAATAACTATTGAGCACATGTTATGTAAATGGAAATTTTACATAATATTATTTCATTTAAATCTCACAACATCCCTATAAAGTAGGAATTATAATTACTGTTATACCCATCGGAAACTGAGGCCCAGAGAAGTTAAGCAACTTGTATAAATTTGGAAAATTAGTAAATGACAGAATCAGGCTAGAAACTTTAAGTTTGAATACGAAGCCCATGCAAACTATTGATAGTCTACCTGATAATCACAGGATTAGAATATATATTGTTGAATAGGAAAATTAATAACAGACATCTTTCTTTGATTTTAAGGTTTTTCTTATCCACAAAACCAAATATTAACCATAAAAAGCCTAACCCAACTGCAAAAGCCTGCCAGAAGCTGCTCTATAGCGTTGTAAATTTGTCTTATCCTGCTAGGAAAGTTATCAAACAGTTGCCTCCTAATTTAAATCTCAGAAAAACCCCATGGCTGCAGGTGGGTGGAGGGCCAAATTATTAGCAGCCAGGCCAGAAATAAACTGCTATCAGCTGATCGCAGTAAAGGGGGAAGGCAGAGTTCAGTCAATCATGTTAACATGAGCCAATGGTTGATTATTCATAGTTCGCCCTCTTCTTTATAAGTCCCATTGTACCTAGCTTCTTTGAGCTATTTGCTTTTTCAGGAATCAACATGGCCTCCCTGTATGCATATTGAATAACTGCTCAGAATAAATCTTATGTTCAAATGCTGGTGAGTTTTGATTATTTTTAACTATATATACATATTTAATTTCTTTTCTTTTTTGTTTTTGAGAATATACACAGAACAGTCACCAATTCAACAGTTTCTGCATGTACAATTCAGTGACATTGATTACATTCTTCAAGTTGTGCAAAGATTATCACTCTCCTTTGCCGAATTGGCCCTTCCCATTAACATAAACTCACTGCCCCTTAAGTTTTCTATCTGTTCTTCTGAGTTATCAATTTGATCCCAGCTGGATAGTTCTTAAAAGAGCACAATGCTAAAGGCAGACATTCTTCACTAATTAAGTTAAACTCTTGTTTGGTTTAAAGAAGACTTCAGGGGATATTTTTGGTTAAAAGTTTAAAGATTGTCTCAGGGCAATTGTTTAGCAACAAACAGCTATTAATCTCATTAACTCTGGTAACTCTGCCTGTGTTAAATGATTTTTATAGTTTATATAGAGGGAAGATTTTAGAATCACATTCACCTGGAAATATGTCTCCTCTGGTTTGGATGTCCACACTGGTATATTTAAAAAGTCTAAAAATTTAGATAATTTCTTTTGGTGGAAGAGCTGCCTAGTATCTGTTGCTGGATATATGAGGGAGTAGGAAACTTGCTGTTTTTTCTGCAGTGTGGTTGAGCATGGCATTGGGAGTCTGCAGAACAAGGGCTGCCTAACTGACTTTTTAGGTGTGAAATTTAGGGCAAATTCCTCATCTGTAAATTGCACATAATAATGCCTTCTTAGTGTTTTTGTGAGGACAAATTAATAGAAATAAAGTGCTTAGCATTATATAAAGCACAGAATACATGCTCAACAAATGACTACAAATTTTAAGTTAGTTTTAAGGAACAGTCTCATAGAGTGTTGGAAAAGGCCACTGTGATCTTTAAAAACACAACAAAACAAAAACCCAACAAACAGAACAATGAAGTAAGTCTTGGTATAAATACTCTTGGGTGGCAGAATTGCTCTAAAATATACTGAGAAGGGAATTGGCTTTCAATGTTCCTCTCATTTTCATTCTTATTCTGTAAGTTCCACTACATAGCTGCAATTGAGAAGTTATGTCTTTTAAGATAGTATTAATTAAAAAAAAAAAAAGCTTCTCATTTACCTATTCTAAGTGTGCACAGAACTGGTATATAGTACATCCAAAAACTATTCCAAGCTGTTTTAAAAAGTCAGTGCACAGATATTCCTTTACTACCAAAAAAAAACCCACTGCCATCAGCATTACTCTGTCTTTCTGCAGACCAGGCTCTGACTGCATGGGACGAATAACAGAACATTTATTTGGTAGTAGTCAAAATTCTTTTCACATTCTTCATTTGATCCCTGTGAGGTAGAAAATGCAACCACAGCCCTATTTTAAGAGCCAGTTTTAAGAACACAACCTGGAAGCCAGAATGATCTGGGTTTGATCCTTACTTTTTGCACTTATTACCTGTTCCCAGACAAGAGACCTCACCTTGGTAAACTGCCTTCCTGACAAGGCGCATTTTATGGTTGTTGTGAGAACTAATTGCGCAGTGGTTAAGGGCTCAGCTGCTAAGCAAAAGGTCAGCAGTTGAAATCCACCAGCTGTTCCTTGGAAACCCTGTGGGGCACTTCTACTCTGTCCTACACGGTCCTATGAGTTGGAATCGACTGACAGCAACGGGTTTGGTTTGGTTTTTTTGGTGAGACCTAAGCAAAGTAAAAAGGTATCTGAAACATCTGTAACGCAGATGTCGGTGATAGCCACATTTTGCAAAGGATGAAACTGTGGAGTAAGCACATTGAGGTAGATAATTACAAGACAGGAGCTGAATCCCACATTTTGTCTGATTTCCAGACAGGCATTCTTTCTTAACTACACCATAAGGTTAGTAGTCTTTGATGAGAGGAATCTTCAATTCTTCTATGACCTGCAATGACATGCATATCCTTAATTGTCCACTATTAGGCTATCTTGTCATTATTTTTACTCTTTGGCAGTTTGGGCCATGGAAGATATAACAAAAATACCTTCACACTTGTCTAATAAGCTTCCATCCTGTCCCTAAGGCCCCACAGTATAAGCTTCGTAGGTAAAGGAAGAGGCGCTCTCCCAACCCAACCTCCGTCAACACAAGCAGCGTTAAACCAGCGCCCCGCCCAGATGTTTTTATTTTCTTCCCTTGGCTCCACCCACCGATACGCGAGGCTTTGGTCACGCCCCTAAGCCGGAGCTCTGGCAACCTAGCGCCTCAGCCTGGCTACAGGGATTCCCTCTCCAACCAATCCCATCTGAGCAACGGCTCTGCCCCTAACAAAGATGGCGCGGGAGGCCGCTGTGAGGGCAGGCTGAGCAGTACGCCCGAACCCGCGGCGGACAGCGAAGGCAGTGGTAGCAGCGCGGCCCCAACCATGGAGGAGGGCGGCAGCACTGACAGCGGTGGCAGCGACAGCAGCACCAGCGGGAGTGGCGGAGCGCAGCAAAGGGAATTGGAGCGCATGGCTGAGGTCTTGGTCACTGGGGAGCAGCTACGGTAAGGAGAAGGCAGAACCGGTGGGCTCGCGGCAGCACCGCCAGCCCGTGCCACAGCAGCCCCGCGCGCACGCGCGCCGGGGCTCGCGGCTCGCAACTGGCGTGGGGCTCCCGAGCGGCCGCGGGTGCATGGATCACCCGCGCTGCGCCTTTGCCCTGATGCTGCAGCCCCGCGTTTTGCGGGGTTGCGCCTGGCGCGGGGCTCTCGGGCGGACGCGGGCGCGAAAGTGGAGCGCGCTGCGCCCCTGCCCAGCTGCTGCAGTCCCGCGCTCCGCGGACTCGCTACCAGCCACCGCGTGCGCTCCAGCTTCCCAGCCCCTAGACGCTGACAGGCCTCCCGGCTGACAGCCCGCTCCTGGTCCGTTCAGAGAATAGGAGGGGTCGGTGTGGAGCCCCGAGGTGCCCCTTTATTCCTAGACGAAAAGAGCCAGCATTCACTTAGCTTTTTCTTTAGGCTGGCACTCTTCTGAGCCCTCAGCTTTTTCATCTGTAAAATGGGCATGATTACTTCGCCTCCCTTGAAGCGTTGTTGGGGCTAAACTGAGGGAATATTTCTGCAAGATTGTCCCTACCACTTACTTGGCACATCGTCATCAGTCATAATTTGGGTCCGCAAGGGGGCGTGGAGGCACCTTGTTGAACTGTCCCACTGCTGTGCCAAGTTACCCAGCGCGCACGTTTTGGGCAGCGGAGTCCGTCGGCCCCCGGCGACCGCAGGAATCAGCACTTGCCAGATCTCGGGCGCGGGGAACAGGCAGTGTCCCCCGGGCCCCGTCTCGTCGTTCCCATCCATTCTCAGTTCTTCTTGGGTTTATGTTCTAGAATTGGTCTGACCAGTTCGGTAGTTGCTCGTCGTGTGCTCATAAATCAGTTTGCTTGGGAAAAAAAAAATCTGGCTCTGCCACGTTTGGACCACAATTTGCGTGCCGGCCCCTGGTCCTGCCGGAACGACGTGCGCCCCTGTTTCTTCTAGTTCTTGACCCGAATTGACCCGGCTCGTTTTGCTTTCTGAATGTTGCGTTTCGAGGACCTAAAGTAGAGGAAAACTTGTAAAGGTCCCCAAAGGTTCGGTAACCACGCTACTTGCAGCACTTAGGTTGAGAAAGTAAATATTGGAAATCAGAATTGAATTTAATGTTACAAAAGGCAAATTGCATATTTCTATTATTTGTTGATTTTTTTAAAAGCATAGTCAGTTTTAAAGGAAATAAAACTTTCCTTCATCAAGAGTATTCTGTAATTGAAAACAAAATTAAGCTTTTCTGATTTAATCTGAAACACTTTTTTTTTTTTTTTTTAAATTTAACTGTATTTTTGATGCAAATGTATACAGCAGAACCCTTTCCCAGTTTCTGGACATAATGGTCAGTGACATGGGTTACATTTTCATGTCGTGTCAACATTTTCCTGAACTGTGTTATAGTTGTTTCTCTTCCATTACAGTACTTCGTCTCCCTGCCCCCAACCTTCTCAGCTATGCTTTAAAATTAGCTGTCGACCCTTTGATTTTATATAGATAATTAAAAAAAAAAAAAAAGAAAGAAAGAAACACAATTCTCAAGGGTGATAATCTTTTATTCTTTGGGCTATACCTTTACTTAGTTTAAAGGTGACTTCAGGAGATAGTTTCAATTCAAGGTTTGAAGAACTTAGGGTCATAGTCTTGGGGATGCCTCCAGCCTGAATAAGTTCAGTAAGTCTGAATTCTTTAAGAATTTGAAGTTCTATCCCACATTTTTCTCCTTTTTTTTTTTTTTTTTTTTAAGAATCAGGATTCATCTAATTGTGTTCCTGATCAGAATGCTCAGTAGTGGTATCCGGGCACCATCTAGTTCTTCTGGTCAATCTGAAATATTTTTTAATAGTTTAATTTATTTGGTCCTCACTATTATAAAGTCTTTTTTAAAGCCCTCATATGGGTGGGGTTACCTACTTTTCATTTCCTTTACAAACGCTAAATTGTGTGATGGCTCTCTTTGTCCAGAAAGCACTTTCTCCCTCAAGATAAAACTTAAGGGCCCCTTCCTCAAGGTCCGTTTAAGCTAGCCTAAATCCCTCCATCTTTGCCACTTACTGGCATGGGACCTTAGACAAGTTACTTAACTAAGAGTGATGGGTAATAATGAAACTTAACTCATAGTGTTAGTATGAGGATTAGGTTGGCCCTACAAGAGTGGTTGGTGTGTAGTAAGCACCATGTCATCGTTAGCTATTGTAGCTCTGTGACCTTGGACAAGTTCATTCACCTCTCTGAGCTTCTGTTTCTTTATCTATAAAATGGCACTGAAGAGAAGTACTTCATGGAGTTGTTGTGAGAATTTGTCCCGGGGCATGATGTGTTAGTGAGCCTTCAATAAATGGTTGCTGGAATTAATTTACTATTTATTTCTGTGTGTCACTACATGTGACTTCCAGCACAGCAAGTTTTGGCTGGAAGGATTGGGTGGTGGTTAAGAGCACAGGGTATGGAATCCAGCTGACTGGGGTCTTATTCTGTCACTACCATTTATTAGCTCTGGGATTTTGGGACATTTACATAACTTTTCTGTGCCCAGTTTCCTTTTCTATAAAAAGGGGGTTTTACTGACCCCTCTCTTGCAGAAGTTTTGTGAGGACTAAATAAGGTGCTACATGTAAAAGGACTCATAAAGGTTATTTAATTTCATTTTAGAAATTTTGAATCATTACTCTTTATATCTCAACCATCTTAGCACTGTGCCTAGCACATAGTAATTAAAGCTAAACCCAAGAAGAATCCCTGAAAGTATGACCCTGATATCAATATCTGTAAGTATTTGAAGGTATATCATATTTAATTCAGTATACTACCTATATTCAATTGACTATGCAAAGACATTCAAATGTGTGGATCATAACAAACTATGGATAACATTGAGAAGAATCGGAGTACCAGAACACTTAATTGTGCTCTTGCAGAACCTGTACATAGACAAAGAGGCAATCATTTGGACAGAGCAAGGGGGCAATGCATGGTTTAAAATTAGGAAAAGTGTGCTTCAGAATTGTATCCTTTCACCATACTTATTCAATCTGTGGAGCCCTGGTGGTGCAGTGGTTAAGAGCTCAGCTGCTAACCAAAAGATTGGCAGTTAGAATCCACCAGCTGCTCCTTGGAAACCCTATAGGGCAGTTCTACTCTGTCCTATAGCGTCACTATGAGTTAGAATCGACTCTGTGGCAGTGGGTTTTTTTTGTTTGTTTTATTCAAATCTGAATGCTAAGCAAATAATCCGAGAAGCTGGACTATATGAAGAAGATTGTGGCATCAGGATCGGAGAAAGACTTATTAAAAACCTATGTTGTACAGATGACACAGCCTTGCTTGCTAAAAGTGAAGAGGACTTGAAGCAGTTACTGATGAAGATTAGAGAGTACAGCCTTCAGTATGGATTACACCTCAACATAAAGGAAACAAAAATCCTCACAACTGGACCAATAAGCAACATCATGATAAATGGAGAAAAGATTGAAGTTGTCAAGGATTTCGTTTTACTTGGCTCTGTA